CATATCACCTAGACAGACATATCACCAAGACAGACATATCACCTAGACAGACATATCACCTAGACAGACATATCACTTAGACAGACATATCACCCAGACAGAATATCACCCAGACAGTCATATAACCTAGACAGACATATCAATCAGACAGTCATATAACCTAGACAGATCACATAAATGCTTATAATAGCAAGTGAGCAGGCTATCAGTTCGAGGTCCATGTTTGGTCGAAGGTCGAAGATATCTTGTTGATCTCACTAACTGAAAATCATTATATTAAAAAAAAGCGAGGAGAAAACTGCCATAACTATACCTTCAATTGATTCATAGATTGGGTCAGATAGTTCAGCGACGTATATAAATCACCAAGTTAACTCAACTTGGCAAATACTTTAAAAGACTCGGAAGGACTACAACTTTGCTTTGTAGAGGGGAATCCAGACAAACCTATTAGCTGTCTAACTTTATGCAGACGGGCAGTCGGGGCAATTAAAGGAAACTTCATCTCAAAGGTTTCCAGATCAAAGATCCAGCCCCACTAGATGATGTCAAACTGAAGGGCTAAACATTCACTTATTGCTTGGCAGAAAAGTCTAGAAGGCGAATGCCACACAACTTATATATATTTCGTTTTACTTAGTTGCTCTTTATTCTAGCGAATGTTTGCTGTTAACCCATTCAAGCAAAATACGGTTTTTATGGTTATGCCATTAGAAAGTTGTGCATTCGCTGATATCCAACCCATGCTATGTCTACCTCTGTTAATTCAGCTGTCCATGGGGCATATTATCAAGTGTTGTAATTTCATCATAGTTATTAAAGTTATTCTTCTATCTCTTGACGACACGCACTTTTCCTTGTTTGTTGATTGAATGACAAAATAATTGAAGGCTTATTAATGGTACAGCTGATATTGACACTGGACTGTGGTCAGTGGGACATTAATTTAATTCACTTAAAGTCAACCTTGTTTAAACTAATCATTGGCTATATTGTTTCTGATTTCCTTTGAGTCAATGTGTCTTATGTCTAGACACTTGTTAATTTTGGACAATTTAATAATAATCCAATTGTCGAATTTTAAAATGTTTTAAATGATTGAGATAAAGCTTTATCATCTCCCATTATAATCCTTTATTTCATTAGACCGCCAGTTAAATATATAAACGTCTTCATGCTGTTTTATAATTTTTTTAGGTATTTGGGTATAACACTTTCATCATCGGGTTTATGGACAAACGCCCAGCATGCTCTGGAAAGTAACGCGGTACATAGTGTGAAAAAGATATTAAAGGGCGGTGGTCGTCGCGCCGCGCATTTGTGACATTTGTGTTGATAAACATTGATTTTCAAACAATACAATGCGCTCTTCTAAGTAAGAGTTTTAACCTGGGTGCGCCGGTGACTTCTTCAGTACCTTCCAAACACCAAAGAAATTATCTAGTTAAAACCTAGAAACGTATCAGTTGGTACTTGTTGGTCTGCGCAAATCAAAGTCGCCATCTTTGTTCATATGATATCTCGCGCATACGTGGCGGGACGACCACCACCCTTTAAGCGAAATTAAGAATATTAAAATTATTATTGCTTTGAAAAGATTTTGACGTCAAATTTGGACCACTAACGAATTATGGTTATGAAATTTTGAGATTCCATACTGGAGAAAATATTGAAAAAAATCCATACCTGTTTTGCAAGTATATACTTAGTCTAAATGTTGGTTCCGCTGATAACCTTAGTCTCGTATTTTTAGATTCTGGTTAAACATCCTGGATCGTGACAATAAGTCGTATAATAAATGTTGTTATAAGTACCAATTGGAAATAGTTGAAAAAAGTTACACGTGCTGGGCATATAACGTAAAGTAACTGTTTATTATGTGTAGTTTTGGTTTCGCTATGGCCCCTTGCAATGTAAATATGTTTGCATCCGCCTTTAAACAAAGATCGTCTGATATTACTGCGCAATAATAGTCAATAAGTCTGCAATCCTTTTCCAATCTTGGCACATATTGTTTCTATAAAAATAATCTGGTTTTAAGAGATATCTATTCTTTATTGATACAGATTTTCGGAGACGTTTCTTATGCAGATTTCGTGTCTCTAGTCACAACATGCTCATCGGGGGTGGCAGGATCTGCACTACTTACTGTGTTTTACAGAAAATGGAAGACAAATATCATTTTTGTTGCGAATATACCTTATACAAGCATTTAAGAGAAAAATTTCTTCCCCCATACTATTACAAATACCCATCATTTATGAAATTTATTTCACATTTAAATTCTCATAATCCGTTTGTTCTTTTGACTCTACCAAATTCCATGATTTCAAATTTAGAGACAATATTATTTCCAATGTTGACTAAGATGGCATGATCATTCGAAGATTGGTTTGTGAATTTGTGTTGTAAATAAGGCCTACAATACTGTAATAAAATACGAATATTGACTTACTAACTACGGTACGCTTGTTCCGAGCCACAGTTGCTAAGTATAAACGAATTTTAAAGTGGTTAATGTCGTTATTCTTCGTACTGCGATTATGTTACTTTTGCTGATCATCGTGACGCTAAACTATTATTAGGATACTATCAGTTGTACGCTAGCTACTATACTCGTGTTAATTAACTTAGTAAACATCATGTTCAAATAATTGTTACTATTAACACTATTTAAAATTGCCATTAATTGTTTTCCATGCTCAAAAATTGGATGGTAAAAAAGATAAAATAACACTTCAATAAAACAGACTGAACAACACATCAGTACTTGAGTAGCCTTCTGAGGTTTACCCATCTGCTTATTTAAACTTATTCAAAACTTAGTATCCTTTAGAAGACACAATGTTCTTAGACTATTAAATCTCATTTTTTGTGAAAAAACATATTCTTGTTGCTATACTTTATAATACAACCTGTACTTATTTACATGGTGAATAATGGTGATAAATTTGGGAGGATTAACAACTATCCCGAGGAGACTTTGTCTCATGTCTCTAGACTGGGGCCGTTTCTCTAGAACCTTCAATGTTGAAAAAACAATTTTTTACCGGATTTCTGCCAAAATACCTATCGTTTTCAAAATACTACAAAACTGTATTATATTCAAGTTGTGTTATTAGGTATCGAAACTAATTATTAAGTTGTCTAATACATTACTGAAGATACGCAGCTTAATTTGCATACTAATTGAAGTTGTTGTATTATGTACCGCGACCGTGAAGCAAGCACGTGCTGAAAATAATAATAAAGTAATAGATAGTTAAAGGATATCTAGACAATAAATACATTCGTGTTGAAAGAACTTCTGGCCAGCACAGCTGGTGCTAACTGCCGGATTTTATAATTTATTCATTTAATTATATCGCCGCATTATATTGACCATGATCGAATTATTATAAACATACAATTTTTTATTGCTTCGTAGATTCAAATTGGTTGTAAATTAAATTAAGGATGTGCCATGAGAGTTACGCAGATTTAAAGGGAATGAGAGGTCTGGCTTTCTATGCAACTTGACAGCGCTAAATGTCAAGGTCATGGGTGTTACTACTGCTTTGAAAAAGACAGAACCTACGATCATATTTGATAACATGCTCTAAAGCTTAAGTGACACAGCATAGTAATATCTAATAACATCTTGAACGAACGAATCAAATTAGAAATCTCATTTAAAAAAAAAATCGTAGTTTCGAATATGATCCTGGATCAAGATCAATGGAAAACGTGGAGTCACGTATCAAGTTTCACCTTCCGAAATGGCGGCCTTGGCAATCTTACGCATTTTCTCGTGTTAACTGATGCAAGGTTTCGATCAAAGCATTGCCTCAAAGCAAATACAATAGTAACCTCTGTAGTTGCGTTTATGTCGTGAGTAAATTTATTTAAATTACCGTTTTGGTGGAATCGATGCGAGTTAAATGCATCAGTACAAGTAGTACTTCCATGCTGGTACCTGTGATCACCAGGTGAAAGTAATTCGTACTGTGGAAGATTAATCAAACATTTGATTACACGACACGCTTCTTCGATTTATACATTGATTTGTATGTATCAAACAGACTTAAAGTGTAAACTAAAAGTTTATTTAACAGTCAATAGACAAGAAATTTGAACTTGAGGCTTTCACCAGAACTGTGTCACAGCCTACTACCATGTCCACGTTGTGCAGCAATTATATCCCTTGGTGACTAGGGAAATCCTTGTATGCAAAAACACACACACATTAAACGAAAAAGAACTTTTTTTAACAAGCTTGAAGATTTGGACATACTGTTTTTTCTTATATTTTATATCCATATAAGTTGGTATGCATATTATAACAATATAAAAGTAATGCAATATATTTTGCCTGGCATTATGTGCTACGTTTAAATAATTGCAAATTTGCCATCAGACTTGGATTGGATTGTCTAGTGCGCCCTCACAATTCACACAGTACAATCACCGTTATGTAATTTATCTAGACATGTCTAACTATGTGACGTTTCGTTTCGTGTTATAATTTCAGAGTGAGTGTCGTCTTGATATGTAACCTGTATTTGCATAATTACCCGTTGGATGTCCAGTCGTGTAATATTCAGATGGAAAGTTGTAAGTACTTTACCCGGATGAACAGATTACTATTCATAGTCATAGTCGTGGCACAACCCTTTCGATTTCCGTGTAAATTAACAATGTTTATTAACGAGGTTTTATGTGACGTTGTTACGACGACTACCGATCGCTTTAAAGGGCAGTGGTCGTCGCGCCGCGTCCTGTTCGATATGAGACGCATAGCAACGCGTGTAAAATACATTGTTGGTTTACATAAAATTCAAACACGCGCGACGGCCATCGCCCTTTAATAATAATATAACTATGATTTAACTATTTTGATAGGTGATCTACAATTGAAATTGTGCAATAAAATAAAGTGCAACTGCAGAGCCAAGACCAATGAAGCATCCATCTTCATCTTTATGCACATCTTTACGAGTATTTACATCGTTTGATTATAGGGTATTTAGTTTTGCTATAATACGGGAATCTTTTGGATATGTCTTGTTTCAAACTTGTTATCGTGCCAATTCTATTCTAGTCGGATATACCAATAGCGACGTGCAGCTATTCTGGAGTGACGAATATCCAGCAACAATACCGGATGACCTTGTAATGCCCGAGTTCCTTGTCAGCAAACCAAAGGTGAACAGATCAGTACAATACTATCCACAACTAGGTAATTCAACTCATAAAAGTGTTACAATTTTATTATTAGTTTGTGCAGTTCACAGTGGAATTTTCACTAGGTGCGAACCAAGTGATGCAATATAATATAGGTTCGTATCATACGGGGAAATCAATACTAAGCAACAACACGATATGTTCCTTGAAATATGAACTAAGCATGTTAAATATATTACCATGTAAATTAAAAATACAAGAGGATCCAACCGAACTTAACAGTTCAAACCGTAAAACTGAATGCACCTTCCCTACGAGTCACGCCCCCTAGCGACGATGATGTAATTATCTGAAGTGGTCAATCAGTGAAGATTAAGCTATTTGAGAACTTTTACTATAGTGCAGATGACAAACGACTACACAACCAAATACAATTGTCATTTGAGCGATCATGTCTATTTCCATAAACGTCATTTGGAGGTCACAGGAGCGCTGCGTCACACAGAACGCGAATAACTTCTTTGAATGGTGTATTACAAGTTTAGGAGCATTCCTTTATGCGCACGTGCCTTGCGAGGTACTCACTACGCTGTCTAGCGTAGGAAACTTTACAATACAAACTTTCCATTTTCGAAATTGTAAAATTCCTACGTTTTATGGAAGAAAACACAGTATTTTCACCAAGTAAAATCATATTTTGTAAAGTTATTATCTATATATATCACTTCGATAAACACTATGCGTTTTCGACATTGTTAAAATTCTCTCGTTTTTTCGGGAAAAACTGAAAACAACAGTATATTAAAATAATTTACAACAAAATGTGTTTTTTTTTATATGTACACCAATGATAATTTTCATAATTACTGATTAAACAAGAATTACAGAAAAAATATAATTTGCTTATATTTTCTATATTTTTTGCATTTTATTTGTGACTAAAATTATGACTGAAAAAAAACCTGAATGATATTATAACTTTAATAAACATGATTTTAATCGAACGAATTTTACAATGCCGAAACGGAAAGTCTTTATCGTAGTGTTTTACATGAATTGGTGAACACGCGACATATTTTTTGAGCCAATTCAGCTGCTTTTAGCCATATTTCAAGACAAATAAAACGCAAACATATCGAAAATTTAACAAATTATGTCTTGTTTTTAATATTCACGTATAATCGGTAATGATTATTAGTGTGCATATTCGATATAGAATATTCTTAATATTTCTGAACTCACTTGTCAAAATAAGTTGTTTTATTGCTTTTTCCTGAAAAAGAACAAAAGAATTTCACAATGTCGAAATCAGAAAGTCTTTATCGCAGTGTCACGAACTCCTAATGTTCTTACGCGAGGGAACACACGTTAATATTCGGTCTGTGATGTTTATGAAGTACATGACTTTCTAATTATATGCATGAATACGTTATCCGATCCCGCCAAATACCCCGGATGTTCTTATTTGAAAATCGCATTTGTGTAAAAGAGAAGTTAAGTAATACATATGTAATTTGATTTTGCAAGTCTTAAGAAGGAAAAAATAAGACAAAAATAGCTACTACAACGATACAGCTCTAAATCTAATTAGTGCCACGCTTTGTCACACTTTAATTGCGACTTTGAATTCAACAAAGTGCTAGTTGTTTCTCCAGATAAACTCCAAGTGCGTGTTTATTTCAGTTTGTTATATCCACATAATAACTTCAATAGCAATAATATTATACTAACTATTGTATTGTATTCTTAGTACAACTATTATTGCCAATGCGATGTATTTTTCAGGACATTATGATCAACTGTACTGCAGCTTCTCACTTCACCGTGAAGTCATATACTACATTCTTGAGCATTATGTACCATCTACCTTGATGGTCATTGTATCGTGGGTATCGTTTTGGTTAGACGTAGAAGCAGTCCCTGCCCGTGCCAGTCTAGGTATAACAACCGCTCTCACATTAGCCACGCTCAGTTCTGCTGCAAGGTATCAGATGGCGAAAGTCTCCTACACAAAAGTAAGATAGATGAATTTTAGGAGCAATGTTAGTTACGTAGTATTTGTAACACTACAGTTGCAACCCCCAAAATGTTTTGATCATAAATTGTTTTACAAAGTATATTGACAATGCAGTATGTAGACAATATAAATAGTATATGAACACTATATTATATAGACACTATGTAAAGTATATAGACATTATACGAGGTATACGGAGAGTATATAGACAATATATGCAATACATGGCCAATATATATATATATAGTACATAGACCCAATTTATAGAAATGATCATAATGTAGACTATATCGAGAACATTGGTTGTACGTGCCTCTGTTTACAGGCTATCGACATATGGATGTTGGTATGTACGTTGTTTGTATTTGCGGCATTGGTGGAATTTGCATTAACAAGTTATATACACAATAAATCGAAAATATTCATTGGTACGTCACAATGGACTGAGGAGCCACAGGTGCCACAGGTACTTATTTATTTTACGGTTATTAAATAATATATTATCTCAAACATTTAATTTAAACACTATATTACAAATATTCTATGTATGTTTATTATACAGTTATTAGCACGACGACTCTACTTTCAGTTTACATTTACTATTTGCGGAGCTTTCTTATTTAAATTAGAGCAGTTGACTAATAACCTGATGCAATGCAATTCCAGGTTTTAACTTTCTTAAAGTTTTGTGACTTAAGTTACCTCCTGAAAAAGATATACTTACGCGTGAGAAAGGAAGAAGAGCCAATATGTTTCCTAACATGTGATTTAGTCCAAAACAATGAGTTTATATATGCTTGAAAAAGCAAAAGACTTACATGTGACGATGTCTATACCCTTGAAGCCCCGAGATACATTTTACGAAGGTGATTGTATGATTTAACTTATACAATTTTACAGGAAGGTGATGAAGATTGTAAACCGAAGGAACTGCGAGTCGATGACATGAACACCTTAGAAAGACGTGTCAGCAACGAAGTAATTGAGAAGGAATCTACTGATGCCGAGCCCCATAATGGAAATAACATCTACTATGAGAGTATTTCGAAAAGGTTTGACCAATACAGTAGAGCTTTATTTCCATGTGCGTTCGTCCTCTTCAATTTGATCTATTGGATTTATTATATACACAATCACTAAGAATTTAACCTGAGACCTAAAGAATCTGTCACCGGAATATATAGTTCTATTATATATTTCTCACTAATTGGCAATTTATCTTATCACATGTCATCAGTCCACCTAAATCCGAATAAGATATGCTTATCTTAACAAGTGATTAGTATGTATTCCTTATCTGCGCGTAATTTACCAACAATACTGGATATAACGTTCATATTCCAAATTAGTCAAATGTCATCTTAACTATGTTAAAACGTTTCAATCTGCAATCGACTGTACTATATTCAATATTTTCGTTGGGTGAATGGCGTCACTTTTTAAATCTCATGCCAGCCCTTGTATGAATTGATGACCCAAATGTATTTACTTATTGACCAGAATAATATTCATAGCAGTTAAGGGAATAGGTGTGTTGTGTTGATAGTGTAAAACAGATGAATTCACTTTGAATGAGCAAACTGCTTAGATTGTGCTGAGATTGACTACCTTATTTTGCTCCACTTGTTAACAATGATGACGCTCTTCTTGTCAAGGTCAATCATTAAATTTTGTTACGTTACCACAATGTTTATATATGTGCCATTCGATGTTAAACTTATCAGGTTAATGGGAACTTATTTGAATTATCAGGAGATTCAGTTCCTTACACAGAAAAACATTCAGAATTTTATTCAGCAGCTTTACCACATTACCACATCAATAATTACCAAAACCGTTAATAAAGCACTCTGCTACATAAGTTTTCAAGCAAGGTTCGTATATGAATGCGATTTTCCGAAGTGTGTCGTTTAGCTATAGCGCCATCGACGTTTAATGGGGATATGTATTTATTTTTATTTGTCGTTCTTTTCTAGTTTTCATTAGTTTTATGGATTTGTCTTTTGTTGAATAAAAATCTACATGTCTTCTTCGATAATTCTATATTTTGTAATGTATTAGTTTAATATCTACGCCGCAGTGCCACAGTTCATTGTAACGAGTTATCGGGCGAATTGATTCCCTGGAACAATCTTTTGTGACGCACTCCACCCATCATGCAATTCGCAACTGAGCATGCTATCAACACCCACCATTTTGTCTTGGGTGGTTAGTGTCTGTGGTTGTCTGGAGCTACCCTTATTCATATAGTGCAGTACTTCTGTTTTATTTGAAATTGCCAGACGTTACTGGACGTGGGCGTTTGGAAGAACCGGTATTTGACTTCAAGTATGCAAAAAGGAACGTCAGACATTGGTGGCAGTGATTTTGTGTTACCGCCGTCACTTGTAGTCTGTGCAACTTATCGTCTGCTGCAAGCTGAGCAAATCTGGTTATTGTCACTTACATTTTCTTGGTGAAATGTTCACGAAGATGTCTTTGGATGGTTTTGAAAACCGAACCATGTTTCAAATCAGTGTTTTACGGTTTTTCTTGTGTTTATCATAGACCCACAACAAGAGCAAAATGCTTCCTTTCATTTTAGTTGGTTGTCCTTGTCTGTACCATGCTCCACGTAGCGAAACCCTAATAATAACCGTTTTTATGTTTGTTATGCTAATTCACAGTGCAGTTAACAGTATAGCTGAGCTCAGTTGCTGCTACAACACAATTTTTTTTTAATATTTATTTCTTACGGCAATCAACAATTCTCGACCAGTGTCTCGTAGTTGCTCGTGCTGCTCTCTTTGGGTTCTTGTTGTATTATAAATAGGCTATGTATGGCTGTGTTGTACCACAAATAACATAATATCATTACACCGCAACCTTGAACATGCAATTCGCTATCGGTTGTCATATTTTATTATTTTTGAAGCCGGTGTCTGACATACAAGGCGCTGGGTGTTTTATTGGCGCGGTCGGAGCTCCATACCTTGTCTACGATGGCCAAGCACGTCTGCTAGCAGTCCAACTCTCCAGCAAAGTAGCCGTTCGCTTGACGAATAGATGTGTTTATTGTTCGCAATATTAGAGAGTCACAACTTATTCGAAATCCAACAGTTTTTCAAACTCATTATATTGTCCTTGTTTAACGAAGAGTGATATCTGCCAAATTGTAATTTGTGTGGATGCATTCAACTACAATGCTTAGGTTGGCTGTTTTTTAATCACAGTAGGGAATTTTAGAGTTAGTCCATTGTTTGAATCATCTTCAGAGGGATTGCTGGGTCTTACAGCAGCATTTTGTACTAAGCCGCCACGGTATCTGTGAACCCACAAAAAGTAATCCAAGTTGAACATAAATCACCACATCCTATCGCAACCAACATCGTAAAAACCTGGTTCCCTATTTGTAAATTCTTCTTATTTGTCTGATTGGTAGCGTTCAACCAATAACGCATTTTTGGTGTATTGTTTAGTAGTGTTCAATGACTTACTTCACATTTTCCATTCTTCACTGCACTAAACTCAACACTCAACTCAACAGCCTAGATTTGTCTGACAAATATTTCTGTTGTTATTACATACTGGTGTCTTTTACCAGGGACACACAAGACAAAAAACAATGGCCTTAGATGTCACAGATAGAGCTTAATAAAAGTGGGTATATTTGATTGTAAATAGTTTTATTTAAAATGAATCCTGCTCAGGCAACATTTAGAACTGGTTGCGAATGTAGAGGAGAAGAAACATACACAGACATAGCTGTGGGTCCATTGCTCTTCTTCTTGTGTCGGTCTTTAGTCTGTGTGATGATATTTTAGCAATGTCTGTTACATTCGGTTTTAAAGAGCTATGGATGCTCCCATAGACTTGCAATGCTAAATGGTAACGTAAATTAAAGTCGGTACAAGTATACTATTTTCTACTTTGGTATGTGGGAACCGCTGTAAAATATGATATAATTTTGTGCTTATTATTTGGCTGATTTATTAAAAAAACGCACTAGTAGCATTGTATCTTAACATACATTACTTATATCACTGTTTACCTAAATTGTTGTACAGGGCGCACATTCGGGTATATGTAATCAAATATGTGTTAAGATATATTTGATTTGTATCACCAGATATGTCAAGTACAATAATCTTTCAGAAAATAAAAGCAGTGAGCGAAATTAATCTTTTGACTACTACTCAATTGACAGTAAATTAATGACTAGTACTACATACTCGTACACTGGATAATGTCTCATGGATTTAAAGTTAATACAATTTTT